TCAGCAGGGGTCCAATGTTGCCCCTGCTTTTCCTCCGGCTCCCCACATATCTGAAAAAGGACTTTTTATTGTCCTTGATGCTCAAAGCTAGTTGGAGTTCAGTTGCAGCCTTGGCTTTCCTGGTATGCTCCCTGCAGGACCGGACCAGTGCAGAATAATCCTCCTTAGAGGTGACTCCCATCCTCCATCCTTTGTAGGCCTTTCTTTTTGGCCTCAGGAGATCTGCTAGGTCCCTGGAGAGCCAGGGGGGCTGCTGTGCCCTCTTGCTGCCTTTCCTCCGAGACGGAATAGACTTAGTTTGTGCATTGAGGATCGCTCCCTTGAGGACAAGCCTTCTGTAGTATCCAGCCAGACCAAGGAAGGCTCTGCTCTGCTTTTTCTTTTGTGGGGTTGGCCAGATCTTCTCCCTCAGGGGAGCAATCTTGCCCCCACCCACAAGGTGTCCTAAATACACCAGATCAGGTGATGCTAACTGGCACGTCTTTGCTTTCACTGTAAGTCCAGCTTGCTTTATTTTGTCTAACACAGTGATTAAATGAATCAGGTGTGATTCCAAGTCTTGACTGAAGATGGCGATGTCGTTGATGTACTCCACTGCAAACTGCTCACATCCACGCAGCAAATTATTAATCAGTCTTTGAAAAGAAGCGAGAGAATTGTGCATACCAAAAGGTAAAATGGCAAACTCATACAGTCCCAAAGGCATGGTAAAAGCAGACTTGGCTATAGCGTCCAGATCCAGTGCCATCTTCCAGAACCCCTTGGATAGATCGAGAGTGGAGAGGAACTTGGTTCAGCCCAGGGTATAGAGCAGAGAGTCCATCCTGAGCACAGGGTAAGCGTTGGGGGTGGTAATAGCATTCAGCTCCCAGTTGTCTACACAGAACCTGATGGTCCCATCCTGCTTCCAGACGAGTACCACGGGACTAGCCCATGGACCTGTGGAAGGCTTTATTACCCCCAGCCTTAGCATGTCAGCGAGCTCACGTTCTTTTTCCTGCAGCACTTACCTGTTGACTAGGTAAGGGATGGTATGGACAGGGCGATGGCTGCGCAAGTCTAGAGTGTGCATTGCCAGGTTTGTTTTACTGGTTGTTGTAGAGCACTGTCTCAAAGTCTCTGAGAGCTGTGTGCAGCTTGTCTTTGTCTGAGGTGGACAGTTAATCAGGCAGGCAAAGCTCCTCGATTCCTGCCTCTCCTCCCTCGTCGTCACACAGGATTGGCTCCTCCAGGTCCTCAGGTGATTCCTAAACCAAGGAAATCTACAGCACAGCATCATTCTTGTCATAGTAGGGTTTAAGCATGCTCACATGTACCACCTTAGGTCTTTTGGCAACCTTCCCATGCTTCTTGCAGCTTTTCTGTCTTTAGAGGCAGGAAAACCATGACCTTATCTCCTGGTTCAAAGGTACGCAAGTGAGCCCCTTTATTGTACCAGACACTCTGCTTCTCCTGTGCCTGGGCCAGGGAGTCTCGCGCCACCTTCATCATATCAGTTATCTTCTGGCAAAAGCCCAGGACATACTCCACCGCAGATGTTTTAGAGGCGGGGATTTTCCCTTCCTACTCTGCTGTCACCAGGTCAAGAGGGCCCCTGACTCGCCTCCCGAACATCAGCTTGAATGGCGAGAACCCGGTGGACTCCTGGGGCACCTCTCAGTAGGTGAAGAGCAAGTGTGGAAGTTTCTTGTCCCAGTCATTGGGGTTAGAGTCTGCATATGCCTTCAGCATACCCTTTCAAGATCCCATTGCACGTCTCCACCAGCCCATTTGTTTGAGGACAATAGGCTGTGGTCTTGAGGTGTGTAACCCCACAGTACTCCCACAGGCACTTCATTACTTTAGCCAGGAAGTTCCCACTCCTGACAGTCAGCATTTCAGAGGGGAAGCCCATCTGGAAGATCTCTGTCACGGCCTCAGAGACTACGAATGCCTCTGTGGAGGCCAAGGCAATTGCCTCCGGGTGCTGCGTTGTAAAATCCACAAGAGTCAGGATATATTTCTTTCCTCTGTGTGTCTTATGCCTCAGGGGGCCTACAATATCTATTCCCACTCTTTGGAAAGCTTCATTAATGGTAGGGAGGGACTGTAGGGGAGTCTGTTTTTTGTCCCCACTCCGGCCCGTCTGCTGG